TATTGTAAATTAAATTTGTTTAAATGTTTATTTTTTCTTCATTTATATTAAAATTCAAAAAAGTCACAAAAAAGCCTGTTTGTGAACTTATTGTATTTAATTTTACATTACAACAATAAGGTTTCTTTAAATATTAAAATATATTAAATAAGCTTTAGATATATTTTTACCATGCAGTTTATTTACAAAAAAAATTAAAAAATAAAAAATAACCTACCTTTTAGTTTTTTTTAAAAAAATTTAAAGAGGAAGAAAATGTTTTGACTTTCAATGCAAGGGCCCGATACCTAACTCCAAATCACTAAGTCCACCCCTGTTTTTACCTATGTATATGTGTCTGTGTAATTATATATATATATATATATATATATATATATATTTATATATATATATAGAAAGATCACTGTTTAGATGTAATTCTTACATGTTTTGTAATTGTACTGGTTTCTAAAACTCCCTTCTTTTTAAACTCATTTCTTTTCTTCAGTATATTTCAGTGTTTTTCTACCATTTTTCACACTTCTACTATCGCATATTCTGTTCATAACCAACTGCAGCGATAAATAAGCGAATTTTACATTTTTTCATGCTAATTAGCAAACTTATTGAACGCGGAAGTCAGAATGTGCGAGTATAAAACCAACTTTACCCATCTAACGTTACTCTGTAGGTGTGTCGTTTAATTCTGGAGCCTCCGCGGGAACCGGAGCCTCGAGTTTCTGTTCTTTGTTTACGGGAGCGTCGTCCGGTTGTGCTTTTCTTTGCTGTGGGGTTTTCTGCTTTCTGCGTTGCCTTTTTCGTCCACACTCCTGTCGGTCAGTGGATGTTTCGTCTTTCCCCGACCATTCCCTGTAAACCCTGGAGACTGTAGTGCGAGAAAGTCCTAGCAGCTCAGCGGTGTCGGAAACACTCCGACCAGCCTGTCTGGCACCAACAATCATCCCGCGTTGAAAATCACTTAAATTATTTTTCTGTTCCATTCCGAACTGCAAATATATGGTCCGCTTATATGAGTTGATAATACAAATGCCTCAATTTTATTACCAATAACCCAATAATGTGCGTCTGCGCCTCACCTCTGTTCTGTTCAAGTGTTTTATTTTGCGGTTGGCGTACAACTTCTAGGCGCATTACTGCCGACTGCTGGTTAGGAATAGCACATACAGGAAAATAAAATAGTCTGTTTATCTAGTTTAGTCCGTTTTAATTGTAGTATTATTAATTATATACAGTCCCCGTTTGGTTTATTTTGTATCAATTATGTCACATTTTAAATTTAAAATAAAGATTTTTCTTTTATTGCAGGTTCTCCCCGTGTTGGCGTGGATTTATTCCGGAAAATACCTGTTGTGTTCATTGGCCTTCAGCGAGTGCAGCATTGGCCAATAATATCCAACTGCAGACCCTCAGACCCACACAGGTTTCAGGTACACACAATCAAGAACAGGGGTTCTCAACTGGTTTGACCATGGGACCCACATTTTTACATGGTCATCAAGCCGTGACCCAAATTTTTGGTACTATAATACAGTTTTAGGAATTATACTTCATTTGTATTTATTTGTTAACATACACTAGTGACAGATACATCATAAGAAATTCAACAAGACTTACAAATAAACAACATTTTCTTGCTGTCATTTAACAAAATGGGTCAAATTACAGAAATAGTACAAAGTAAAATTGACAAATAACAGTTAATAATAAACTGCTAATAAAACATGTTTTCTGGTTTCTAAATATTGTTTTTTCAGAAGATTTTACTACATATGACACTGCTTTAAGTCTTTTTTGTCGTCAATATATATAATGTTATCCATACTTTACATATTTAGGGTCTTACTTGGGCTTGGACATATTTGTTGCTATAATTAAATAAAATTTCACATGTCAAATGGTAGGGTTGTCGCGCACACACTTCAAAATAAAAGTCTAGTATAAGCAAAATAAGTAAAAAATTACTTTTGTTGTTTTTTTGATCACACACTCCACGACCCACTGCAATGCGACCCACCAGAAAATCCATATATAGTCGTTTGTAAACATATATATATATTTGTAAACATTTAGGATGTGCGCATCGAGGTTGCAAAAAAAAAAAACAGGAGTGCTTGCATTTACAGCGAAGGAATGGCATCCGATGCGATAGAGTTTGTTGTTGTATTTCAGATAAGTTATGTTGATTACTTACATAATGCTTTCAGCGTATTATCAATACTCATTGATAAGCACAGTGATTTGGCAAAATTAATGTTAAAGTGAGAGGTGTTCATCTTACAGGTCCATTTGCGATCACACCCTCCCAATGGATATTGGATAGGACGAAACGGCCAAGCATCCAGACCCAAATATACAATCTCATTGAAGCTCCAAGGGATTTTACAAGAGAGAAGTTAAAGGCCTACAGGTCTTTGGATGCCTACAATTCTGTCCTGTGGGGTCATGTGCAAGAAATAATGCTCCGTGATGACCAGATTCAACACTATGTAGTGCTAAAAACCGAGGTTCTGCCTAGCCAAAGACAAGGAAAGAAGACGGAGCTGTACAAGGCCTGGGTAATCATCAACAAGCAAAACAACTGCATTCTGACAGCGAGCTGCACCTGTACGGCAGCGTATGTGAACTTACAATTTTACATTTTATTCTAAGCATTCAGTGTCCGCAGTTTAATTCACCATATTGCACTGTTTATGCTGAAATCAAAAATGAGTAACAGGTATGATACAGCGTAACGTGAACTTTCCTGATATGAAATGAGAACTGCAGAGTCGAGCTTTTTCTGTTAGGTCTTTACTCCATTCAGTCTACAGACGTCTGCGGTTGACATTAAAAGCAGTGTGGTGTACGGTAATATTTAAGTTTTTTACTTTTGGACTTTCGATTTTGGCATCCTACCACACAACATGACATGTTTCATATAGCAACCAGTCTTTTTTTCAACGGTTGAACCCATGTCTTCTCAGACATCGTCATCAATATATTAGTATGTATATAGTAATTAAATATTAAACAAAATAGACAATAGTGCATGCTATTTCACAAATATGGAGATCAAGACAGGCGAATGGGGAACATTGTTTCCGATCGCCATTCAATATAATAGACTGAACCGTTTTCTATCAGTCATCATAGATGATCAGTCATTATTTATCTGACAGGGTCAGTATAGAAGATACTCGTTTGCTGGCCTTGCTAGACGATCTAAACTGGACAGGTTTCATTTATATAATGGATTCATTATATCGAAGGAAGTAATAGTAAATTAATATGTATAGGCTATAATGCAGCTTTATATGTAATACACATCTTTTTACATATAATAAATGTATAACACTATATTATTATTTTACTCCAGCGATTTAATAGTGTTTATTTGCTTAATTTCCTAACCACTTTTTTATTAATGATTTCCCAAATTAAATACTATAGTAATTTATAGTTAGTATTATATTGTTTTTAAACCATAAAGGACTGGTAATTTGTGGTAATTATAGTTGCAACAAATTAGGCATGGGACGATACCCGTTTACAAGGTATACCGTGGTTTGGAAAAGTCAAGATTTTAAGACTGCCGAAATATTTTGCCATTCTGTTCCTAAAGTATGTGTAAGAATTTTTATTTACGCTTTTTTTAGGACAACAATATCTCCAGCAGAAAACATTTTTTTTCTGTTTCAAATTGTAAATAAATCTGTGTTTTTGAAATGAAGACAGCAGAAGTCAATGACATTTAAAAAGCTTATTTTTTAACCAGCCCAAGCATATGTATATATTACTAACAGTTGCTACAGTTTAGTAAGAGATAAAGTAGTTTAAATCAGTTTATAACTATATTATTTTAAATTATTAACTATAGTCATTTATTTTAATGTGACACATTATTGTTTGTTTTTTATATTTTACTACAAAACGATTTTAACTATGACAACATTGAGATCCTGAATTAGTTTATTACACTTAATTCTACAATTAGATGGTCTATTATGTTTTCTTTGTGTATGTGGATACGTGAATAAAGTCATAATTGTTTTAACTTAATATTTTTACTTACATAATTTAAGTTCCAAAACTGGGGCGAGGCAGTGGCGCAGTAGATAGTGCTGTCGCCTCACAGCAAGAAGGTTGCTGGGTCGCTGGTACGAACCTCAGCTCAGTTGGCGTTTCTGTGTGGAGTTTGCATGTTCTCCCTGCCTTCGCGTGGGTTTCCTCCGGGTGCTCCAGTTTCCCCCACAGTCCAAAGACATGTGGTACAGGTGAATTGGGTAGACTAAATTGTCCATAGTGTATGAGTGTGTGTGTGAATGTGTGTGTGGATGTTTCCCAGAGATGGGTTGCAGCTTAATATAGGGATTAAAACCTCGGATTAATAAAGGGACTAAGCGACAAGAAAATTAATGAATGAATGAAAGTTCCAAAACTGCTCAGTTGTTAAAATGATTGTTACGATATTACAATGAAATAATGACTGAAATGTTAAACCCTAAACTATTTGTGAAATTCAGTAGGTGGCGATAATGCTCCTAAGGAGTTAGTGGTCGTTAAACAAGAAAAAGAAGACTGTACTGTCTGACTGAAACTACCCTGTACATACTGTAGCCTGCACTATACATTTTAAGTATTTAAATTAGTTATTTTAAATCCTGAAACGGTCGAAGGTGGTTTGATATTTCTATATATCCTATAATGTTAGCACATAACTGCATTTACATAGTTTACATTTGAATGTTTATAGTGAAATAAGACACATACACAACTGACACACAGTTTTGCTACTTGGTGACTTTTTGATTTCATTAATACTGTTATAAAGTGCATAGTTTGATTTATTTACCTGCTTCCCCATTTATATATTTCTGTATTATTGGCATATTTCTCTATTCAAATATGTTAATACATTTTATTACCGTTATTTATTATTGCCAGGTGCTTCGGCCTAGCGGAACTTGCAAGCAGTTCTGAAGAACTATTTTTATCACCCGGCGGAAGGAGCATGACAACGCCATCCGCACTGCGGTCTTTATAACTCGGCCGACGTTTATAACTGATGCGCCGACGTGTTTTCCTGCTTTAAAGTTCACTCCTGATCAAGCAGAGGCGTTTGTTTTGTCAACTCTCTTAATCGTATATAACCTGACCATATATTTGCTTTTCGGAATGGGACAGAAAGGTGATTTAAGTGATTTTCAACGCGGGATGATTGTTGGAGCCAGACAGGCTGGTCTGAGTGTTTCCGACACCGCTGAGCTGCTAGGACTTTCTCGCACTACAGTCTCCAGGGTTTACAGGGAATGGTCGTTGAAGGACAAAACAACCACTGGCCGACAGGAATGTGGGCGAAAAAGTCTCGTTGACGACCGCGGTCAGAGGAGGATGGCCAGACTGGTTCAGGCGGATAAAAAAGCTACCATAACCCAGTTAACCGCTCGTTACAACCAGGGGACCCAGAGGAGCATCTCTGAACGTACAACACGCCGTGCATTAAAGCAAATGGGCTTCAGCAAGCAGAAAACCACACCGGAAAGTAAAGCAAAACCGGACGACGTTCCTGTAAACAAAGAACAGAAATCCAAGGCTCCGGTTCCCGCGGAGGCACCAAAATTAAACGACACACCTTCAGGCTGGCGTCAGGACGATTCAGAAGCGACTCCGTTAGCGTAACATTAACTTAAAACAAGGCACAACAACAGGACATTGCTGGTTGGACTACCAACATCACGTTTATTTCTTCTTGAAACACATCCAGTTTCAAGTTATGTTTGTATATATTAATATTTGTCGAAATGAGCTTTCAAAATGCGTGTAAGCAATGAGAGGCGCATCAAAACAAAACCTTGTTCTAATGGTTCATTGATTTAACCGTATAAAGATTAATTCATACTTATTGACCCCAGAAAACATGCACTGAGTTTGTGCAATTTTCATTTTGGAATAAACTAGAACATTATGGAATTTCTTGGAGAATATCTGTCTTCTTTAACTAATGTAGCACGCACGTGCATTATGGCAATGCAGTTGAACGAAGATCCGTGCACAAAAACCGGTTTGAGCCGAACTGAAAGTGGGGGTTTGGATCCATGTTTGTATTCCTCCGCGCTGAAAGCTTCTGACATTGCTGTTTGTTTGAAAAGTGCGTTTTTTTCTGATGATTTACTTTTGGTGAGTGCTTTACAGAAAGCATCTTTAAAATTGGTAATTTCCTTATTAAAGTGTTGTCATACAGCTGTTACATTAGCTTTTCTAATTGCTGATGCCTGTGCTTTTTCTACAGAGACAGTTGTGGAAGAAAGAGAAACCCTGAATCTAAAATATGAGGTAATTTTAATTACTGGGCAGCACGGTGACAATGTGGTTAGCACAATTGCCTCACAGCAATAAGGTTGCTGGTTCAAGTCCCGACAGGGTCAGTTGATGTTTCTGTGGAGTTTGCATGTTCTCCCCATGTTTGTGTGGGTTTCCTCCAGACGCTCCTGTTTCCCCCACAAGTCCAAAGACGTGGTATAGGTGAAATGGGTAAGCTAAATTGTTCGTAGTGTATGTGTGTGAATGAGTGTGGTTGCAGCTGGAAGGAAAATACAAAATCTCGATTACGATTAATGGATCATTATTTAATTTATTAACTTTTTTGCCCTCATAGTTCACTTACAGGGTTTGTACAGTAAATATGCTCACATAATACAAGTGAGAGATGAAATTACAAGTTTTAATGTAGGGTGCATTACAGGATTTTAAAACAATCAAGGGAAACACACACTATGATTATTTATTGAACATCAATGTTGAACAACAGAAATTAAAACGGATCCCTAAAACGTACAGTCATTAGTTTCTTATAAAAAAGTAAAAACAAAGTGCAGTTTTAGAAACAAAATAAATTATTTTCAGTGATTCTCTCATCAATAAACTTTAGTGTGACCGCGGCATCAGTTCCAACTCTAATTAGAATTTGAACATGCGAAATTCTGTCATATAGTGCTGCGAACAGTGCCGTGATTAAACAAGATAATTAGACATTTAAAAAAAAAAAGCAAGCGATAGGTTCATATTTTACATCTTTGTCCAGAGAGGTCATGTTTTGGTCTGCTATTGGTCTTATGCAGTCACGTGATGTGATGTCTAATGTGAAACATTGCCATGGACGATGGCATCGTCGTCATAGGTGGTTGTTGTTGTTAAATATCGATTAATTCATAACAATTAATTGTAGCCTACCGTTTTCACTACCTGTCCCAAATGGTCTTTGCTTTACTCATAACCAAAACATAAATAAAAATAATAAAAAAAAACCTGCATTGCTTGCACCGCCTTTGTGCTCTTCGTATTGACCTACTGCTCTAGAACTCAACGTGAATGTTTTTTTTTAATATCAGCTGTCAATCACTCAGTCAATGCCTACTGCCTTCAGATGACAGGAGCTACAACTGTGAAAATGTGAAGCGCTGAAGATGAGAGAACGAAAATAACACTGACAGATTTAGTTTTAGAAAACAACAAGAGTTTGGGCTGCATGATTCTGGCTAAACTGTGAATCATGATTTTTTTTGCTTAAAATCAAAATCACGATTTTCTCACGATTCTGTAAATGTAAAGCTTAATATGATTAGCCTATTATTATTATTAATTTTCAAACGTATGGTAAAACAGCAATAATAATAGGCCTATGTGTAGGTATACTGTTGCTTAAAATGCTAATTTTTGTATTATAGTGGACTTAAACAGACTTTCAATATGTCCTGTTTGTTAATCCACAGTAAAATGATGACATCAGAATACAACTATTCACAATTATAAAGTTGATTTATAATGTTTAAGACATGTGCTTGTCATCTGTCATTGACAACATTATTAGACCTTTATATTTCCATTATATATAGGCTAAGGTTGTTATACTGACATAGTAAACATTTATTTGCACAGCACTTTGGTTCACTTTGAAAGTAAAAAAACATCAAATGCTTGTCGTAATCATAACTGTAAAATGCGATATGATCATTTAAATGATCTGCGCAAAGTTTTCACTTTTACTTCCGATTGCGGCTCATGGCTGCTGTTACTGTGAGGAAAAACACAGACATGCAAACCAAACCTTCCGCACGGCCCTTAAACGATCGCTCTGTGCAACAAACTGAACATTATTACAACTTCATTACCTTTATTCACAGCATATGCAGGTTGTGCGTCATTTGCGTGCACGCGCACGTTCTCGGCTGTAAACAGACAGTGCGTCAGCTCACGTGTGATTTCGCGACTGTGAATACATCATTACATGAAGATAGAAATGACATTTTGTGTGAATAATACCTTATAAATACAGTATGTGACACTTTTAACGCCATTTGAAGGTGTCAATGTTGCTGTGAAGACTTGTGTGGCTGTATCGTAGAAAAAGTTGAATTAGGATTGTGTGTAGGGTCGAATCGAGATTGTGATCTTTTTTCGATTAATCGTGCAGCCCTACCTACAGTTACTAATAATGGCACATCTTATTAGTGATTGTGTGGTGAATGTTAATTCACCATTTACACTTTTCCAAGAGTGGATAAAAGACTTTCAGTGGCTTCAATTCTGTTATGAAAATAACTAAACCATTCACTGTCTGTTGGACGGGGTTTGCAAGTAACAGCGTTTGCCACTGAATCTACATAAGAGTGAGAGGTGCTGTTTAATCTTTCATTTAATCCTCACGATGCTGTCAGGCGTGCAAGCAGCAGCTATATGTAACATGTAACACAGCTCATGAAAAGACCGTTATTGCTATTAAGATCACATGCAAAAAATAAGTTGTATATCAATATAAATGTGGGGCGGGGCGATAGATCGCCGGATCGGCATTGTGAAATGTGTCGGCCATTGGTGATGGACGATGGCATCGTCTATCGACCCAACCCTACTGTGAACACAAATAAATTGTAAGAATGAACAAATGTATGATAAAATATACCATTTTTTTTGTGTCCGTTTCATTGTCCAACCCCTTGCATATGTATTTCTTTACTTTGTTACCAAAGGCTACAGTAATTTTCTCCCATATGGAGGCCATCAATACTGCATTTTATGACTTTCTTGCAATAATAAATAAACCAAAAATACTGTGTGAGAGTTTGTTCTGTTTTTTATTAAAAGGCTTTTCTAAAAAAGCTGCTGTTAGATGTGCAGCCTTTGCTTCATGTGCATCTGTCTAATTTTAGTAATTTACCTGATACAGCAAAAGTAAATTACTTGTGTGAAATTTACACTTTAAACAGTTTGAACACAAATGTAGGAAAGGCATGCTTGAGTTTTTGACTGCTCCAAAAGTGAAATACTGTTCAAATAGCTGTCAGACTCATGAAACAATTGTCATTTGTAATGCTGGATCCTTTTCATCTCTGTTGTCTTCAAAGAATTTAGTTATTCAGGTGTACTTCAGCAGAGTAGCATTTTCAAGGAAGGACCCAGTTGTGAAGTTCACCATCTGTTGCTCGTAAATATACTCTAAGTAATGTGGCAAAAACAACAACAACATAATTATTTATATTATATTATATATGAATGTATACTTAAAAAAAAAAAACATGTAATACTTCATTTTTAATAATGATAATTATATATAAATATAACTTTTAATTATGCACAAATTTATCACAATTATATGTACCTATGTATTCATGCATGTGTCTGTGTAAAATGTATACAATGATTGGGGATAGTTACTTTTGAAAGTAATGCATTACAATATTGAGTTACTCCCCCAAAAAAGTTACTAGTTGCATTACTTAGTTACTTTATGGAAAGTAAAGCAAGTATTTAATTTTTGGGGACTACCTAAATATTGTAAATGCATTACTTTGAAAAATAATGCATATACCTCAGGCAGGTATGAAAAAGTAACTCAAAAGAAACTAGTTGCAAATGGAAAGCAATGCATTACATAACTTTTTAGTTACTTTTTCATACTTACCTGAAGCTTTATCTCTTTCAGAACTTGTAGGGGGGCTCTGCATTTAATGGTGCACTGCATAACCTACACCTTCTTTTACCTTTAAAAAAAAACTAATAAATACATTTAAAATAATGTTACCTTCTGAGAACTTCCTGACACTATACAAGCCGTATAATAGATTAATGAAAGTGTAACCCTTATGCACTGTTGGGGATGTTTTTATCTACTGTGGGGTGATTTTAATTCTTAATTTGGCCATCATTTTTTTTCTGTTTCAGCTAGCAGAATGATGTTTGGTGGCAAATCTTATTTTGAGAAAATGCTTTTGAAATTTTTAAAGATCTTGATACACTCTAGGTAAATTTACTATGCTTTTGTTATGTTTGGGATAAAAACATCCACAGGATTCTCAATTAAGCTGCTTTAAAAATGCATCAGATACTTTTTTTCACATGTTTTTGCATAAATCTGTTAATCAACCTCTGATCAAAACTACTCAATTGCTTAGAAAATTACAGGATTTTAACTCTTTAATTGCTAAATTCATAAAATCTGTCACTGATTTAGTGAAAAACAAAACACTGAAAATAAATTTTTTAATATAAAAGTAACTGTCTTGGACATGTGAAACAACATTGGCTTTGATGCATTTTTACTGATTGATTTTCCTTTTTTTTTATAATTTACTGTTGGTGGCTGTTCTTGCCCCATTGACTTCCATTACAACCACATTTTTTGGATTGCAAAACTATGACACCATATAACCATGCATATTTAATTGTTGGTGGTTTTCCCTGCTGGGAAGAGGTAAAATATGTATCTGATGCATTTTTACAGCAGTTTAATTCAGTGGATGTTTTCATCCCTAACATGACAAAAGGGTAGTACATCTACCAGTACACAAGCAAAGCAATGTGTTTGCTACTTTTGTATTATTAGTTGGGTAAAATCACTGTCCATTAAAACAATCCCCTTTCTTCAAAGTATTCAGAATAATGAGAATACTTCCATCACAGAAATGTAAGGCTCTGCC